CATACACGACAAACATTCCTTCGGGTACAAGAGAGACAGGGCCAGTCCCGGCGGCGGAAAGGGCCCCACTGTGAGCGCCCCTTGACCCAAGAAGAACTGCTCAGGGAGGCCAAGATCACAGAAGAGCTCAATCTGCGTTCACTAGGTCAGTGTGCAGTTTTGGAAAATGTGGGTAGAGATGCTGAGACACTTGAGAAATTTGGGACAAAAGAATTGAAAGAAAGAAGGACAGTGGTTGATTTTCATTAGAAGCAAGTGACTGCTCCAGAGTTGTGAATGCTCCGGAGAATGTTATGTTGAAGTACTTTTGTATAAATTAAGAATAATACAGGACTAAGCACCTACTTAGGCATGTGCAGGAACCAGGGTGCAATCCCTGGTACTGCATGCTGTGCTGGGCCTGCCCTCGGGCACCCTTAGCCAGTGACAGAGCAAAGCCTGGTGGTGCACACCTGTGATCCCAGCACTGGGGAGGCTGAAAACAGGAGGATCATTATGAATTGCAGCTGCCTAGTGAGACCCTATACTAAATTCATGAAATTAAAAATAGTAATAATATAGAAGCCGGGTGTGGTAGTCCTACCTATAATCCCAGTACTCTAAAAGCAGACACAGGAGGATCACAAGTTCACTTCCAGTCTTTTTTTTAAATTTTATTTGTGTGTGTGTGTGTGTGTGTGTGTGTGGCCAGTTCAGCCCACCAGGGGGCGGGGCTGGCTGGCATGTGGTGCTGGGGATTGAACCACAGTCTCTGCTTTTGCTTAGCTTAGCTTGTTCTAAGGAGGTGCTTTAGACCACTGAGCCATCTCACCAGCCCCGAGTAAAGAATTTTTAAAAAGCTAAGGAAGGGGGCGGGGGAGATGGCTCAGTAGAATAAGTGCTTCCTTGGCAAGTGCAAAGGTCTGAGTTCAATCCCCGGTTCCACAAAAAAAAAACACCAACAACAAAAAGCTAAGGAAGGAACGGCAAGATAGCTTAGTGGACTAAGCACCTGCTTAGGCAAGCACAGGACAGGAGTTTGATTTTATGGTTGGTTTTTTTGTTTGTTTGTTTGTTTGTTTTTTTGCGGTACCGGGGATTGAATTTAGGACCTTGCACTTGCCAGGCAGGTACTTATTCTACAGAGCTATCTCCCCAGTCCCAGGACAGGAGTTTGATCCCTGGTATCACATGTCATGCTGGCCCTGTCCCCAGGTGCAGTGAGCTGGCAACCGAGTCCAGGCATAGTGGCCCACACCTGTAATTTCACTTCCGGGGAGGCTGAAAACAGGAGGATCACTACAAGTCCCGAGCTTCATAGTGAAACCCTGTACCAGGGCTGGCCAAATAGCTCAGCAGATTAAAGCACCTGCACGCAGGCACAGGGACCAGGGTCATTCCCTGGGCCTGCCATGCTGGCTCTGCCCGCGGGGCACCCTGAGCCAGCAATTGAGACTGGGCGTGCTGGCGCACACCTGTAAACCCAGCTCTTGGGAGGCTGTAAACAAGCAGATCACTATGAGTCCCCTGAATACCCTGTAGACTCTTCCCTAAAATACAAAAGAAAAAAAAAGCCCTGTACCAAATATATAAATTAAAAATAAATAAAAGGCTAAGAAAAAAAAAAGGCTAAGGCAAAGCATGGAGGTATATACCGATAATCCTAGCATTTAGGAGGCCAAGACAGGAAGTTTATTTTTTTTTGTTGTTGTTGGGTTTTTTTTGTTGTTGTTGTTGTTTTGCTCCGAATTTCTTTAGGGCAGGTTTGGCTGGAGTGTTGTGGGGATCGAATGACAGCAACCTGAGCCTGACTGCTTTGTTGAAGCAGCCACTTAAAGAACTGAGCTAAGGGGCAGGCCCTCAAAGACAGGAAGTTTACCACAACTTCAAGACCATCTTGACTACACAGTGAGTTCAAGGACAACCTGAACTGCTTAATGAGACCCTGTCTGAAAAATAAAAAGGGACAAATGAGACCCTGTCTGAAAAATAAAAAGGGACGGGCTGTGGCTCACTGCAAAGGTCCAATGTTCAGTCTTGGGTACTGTAAAACAAAACTAAGCTGGGTGTGGTGGTGCATATCTGTAATCTCAGCATTTGGAAGGCTGAGAGCTGGAAGACTGCCATGAGTTTGAGGTCAGCCTCAGCTACATAGTGAATTCAAGACCAGGTTGTCTCAAAAACAAAACAAAGGGACCAAGGAGATAGCTTAGTAGAATAAGTGCTTGCCTGGCAAGCTCAAGGGCCTGAGTTCAATCCCCAGTACCACAAAAAATAAAACCCACACAAAAAAATGCATAGTTTTGTAGAGCCTGAGAGTTGTAGGTCATAAGAGCCATGTGAGAACTGGAGGGAGCAGCAGGTTCACACCTCCTCTCACATGCTCTCTGGTACATATTTTCATTGAGTAAAATAGCAGAGACGGCCAGGGAGATGGCTCAGTAGAATAAGCACTTCCCTGGCAAGTGCAAGGATCTGAGTTCAATCCCTGGTTCCGCAACAAAAAAACAAAAAAACAGCAGAGAGAACCACCAATAGTGTTTATTATATTTCTCTTCCTTTTTTTTTTTTTTTTTGTGGAACCAGGGATTAAACTCAGATCCTTGCACTTGCCAGGGAAGTGTTTATTCCACTGAGCCATCTCCCTGGCCCCCTGAATTTCTTTCATAGTCTTATTAGGCTCACTGTGCTAGGCAAGTACTATACTACCAAGCTATACCCTCAGCGGCCTCTCTTTCTGAACCAAACACCTATATAGTTGGTAATGCATAAGAACAGTGTTTTCTCTGTATGGTAGATGATCACTTACTCTAAATATCTGGTATCCTACTTTAATAATAGTTATGAACTTAAGACACCTTCACTTCAAAAAAGCATATAGATTGAGAAAAGATTTAGTTAGGGAAAAAAATTTAGTTCAACCTCAAAATCTTCACAATACATTTTTGTGATTTTAATGGTGCACACCTGTAATCCTAGCATTGCGAGGACTGAAGGAAGATGATTATTGGGAGTTCAAGGTCAGCCAGGGCTACATATGGGTTCAAGGTCAGCATGCACTACCAAACAAGACCCTGTCTAAAAAATCCTAGCACTTGGGAGGCTGAGGAGATTTGAAAGATCAAAGCCAGCCAGGGCAATTTAGCAAAACATTGTCTCAGAATTTAAAAAAAGGCTGGGAGCTAGGCCTGGGGACACATGCCTACAATCTTTAGCACTGTGGAGACTGAGGCAGAAAAGACCACAAGTTTGAAGCCAGCCTGGGCTACATAGTGATATGAAAGCCAGCCTGAAATACATAGTGAGATCCTGTTTTGAAGAGGACATAAGGGGATTGTAGCTTAGTGGTATGGTCCTTCCCAGTGTTGGGGAGAAAATTTATTATATTGACCCTAAAGTTACAATTTTATTTTGTCATATATTTGAAATGGGGTTTTTCTATGTCCATCAGGCTGGTCTTGAACTCATGAGCTCAGGAGATTCTCTTGCCTCAGCCTCCTAAATAGCTGATACTATAAATGTGTACCACCATACTTAGTTGGCATATATAATTTTCAGTGTATTTCAGGATTTTGAAACAGTAGTTGTCCTCCAGAGCAACTGAGAACTATCACAAGCCATGGGTAATATCAAGACCATGGAAAAATAAATAAATAAGAGACCACAGACTTTGAAGTCACCAGGATAACTGAGGTGATAGGAATTGGGATAGAAGGCCCTACCAAAGTCAGAGAGTAGGGGAGTAGCTATGACGAGTAGGGAGAGAAGTGTTCTAACTGCTGACACAGGTCTCAAGAAGGTGCATACACAATGAATGGCAGAAGCAGAGCCGTGAAAGCCTGGACGGGGCTCATTAGGACACAGCCGTAACCTGCGCTGTGTGTGAGAGAATGAGCACAGCGAGGCAAGGGAATAAGGAACGCTGAGTGAGTAGTTTGAGGGTGAAGGTGAGCTGGCTCCCAGAGCTGCAATTTCACAGAGTAAGGAAGAATTTGAGTGGAGAAGTACAAGAAGTTTGGCTCAAGGGAAAGAAAGCAACATTATCAGTAAGATTTTAAAAGAAGTTCACTCACCTAAGGGTTTCCAGAGGACCTTTAGAGGATTATGTTCAAAGTACCCACATAGAGGAATGAGAAGCTAGGTGTGATGGCAGATCCCTCTGGGAAGCTGAGGCAGGAGGATTACAAGTTCGACTTCAACACAAGCCTGAGCAACTTAACAAGAACCTATTTCCAAAAAAATGTTTTAAAGACTAGAAGCCAGAGCCAGGCATAGTGGTACGTACCTATAATCTCAGCACTCAAGAGGCTGAGGCAGGAGAATTACTGTGAGTTTGAGGCCAGCTAGGGCTATAAAGTGAGTTAGAGGCCAGCCTGAGCTTCACAGTGAGACCCTCTCTCAAAAAGCAAAAAAAACAAAAAACAAAACTAGATTAGAGGCTGGCCCTGGTAACGTGCACCTGTAATCCCTGCACTCTGGGAAATGGAGGCATGAGGATCACAAGTTACAGCCCAGCCAGGACAACTCAGTGACTTAGCAAGACCTTGTCTTGGAAAAAAATAAAGGTGCTGGGGATGCAGCTGTAGCTCAGTGAGGAACACCCTGGATTCAATGCTCAGTACCACAATCAATCAATAAAATATGTTTTTATTTATTTGATACAGGGTCTGGCTATATAGTTCAGACTTGTAAGGATCCTCCTGTCTCAGCCTCCCCAGTGCTGGGATTACAGGTGTGCACCACTACATCTGATTTCAGGGCCAGCATGGTGCCCCCAGAGTTCCAGGGCCAGCACAGCATGTTCTTGTGCTTGCTAGGCAGGCACTTAGACCACTGGTCTATCTCCCCAGTCCTGACAGTAAGTTTTTTTAAAAGGCCAGGGATATAATTCAGTAATAGGATGTTTGCTTAGCATGTGTGAGGGCCTGGGTTCAATCCCAGTCCACAAAAAAGAACAAAAAGAATAACTACTTTGAAGGTAATGATACACAGTGGATTAACTGTTGTTAATCTCTTATTTTGTTATGAAACTGGGTTTTTCCCCCCGAAAGAAAGTTGAAAAAAAATTTTAAAAAGACAGACACTTGGGGGCTGGAGAGATGGCTCAGTGGTCTAAAGCACCTACTTGAAACAAGCTTGGCAAAGCACAGGGACCGGACCACGGTTCGATCCCCAGCACCACATGCCAGCCAGCCCCGCCCCCTGGTGGGCTGAGCTGGCCACACACACACACTATAAATAAATGTAATAAATAAAAATAAATAAATATTTAAAAAAAAAAAAAAGACAGACACTTGAACTTCATTTATAGGAAAGGGATCAGGAATATTTTGATTTATTTATTAACAGATATTTAGAGTGCCTCTGATGTGTGGGATACTGCCTGACACCTACTATGAGTCACAGTCACTGCCCTTAAGTAGGAGACATATATGGCCCTAATCATTGTCATGAGCAGTGTCACAGGGTCCAGACAGGCAGCAGAGTAATATGGTAGCACATGCCTGCAATCCTAGCACCCTGGAAAGTTGAAGCAAGATCATAACTTGGAGCCCAGCCTGGGCAACTTAGCAATTTAAAGAGAGAGGCCCTGTCACAAAAAATAGAAAAAAGACTGGGGTTGTAACTCATTGTGAAGATCCTAACTTTAATCCCCATCATCACAAAATAAAGAGATTAAAAAGAAAGGAGCCAAAGACAGGTGTTGGTGGTGCACACTTGTAATCCCAGCACTCTGGGCAACTGAATCAGGAGTTTAACAAGCTGGAGTTGGGCCTAGGTGATTCAGCAACTTAGTGAGACTCAAGAAAAGGCCTTGGGGATGTTGCTCAGTGTGAAGGCCCTGGGTTCTTTCCCCAGTACTGGAAAACAAAAACACTGTACAGATCAAAGACTTGAGAGTTCCTGCGGCTTGCAGCCTCTGCCATAAACTAAGTAGAGAAATAGAAAAGTTCACCAGCCACCGGGGTGGAAAATTGAGGGAATTAATTAAAGCCATGTGGGAAAAGGAATAGTTTATTTTATTTTTATTATTTTTATTTTTTATTTTTTGGCAGAACTGGGGATTGAACTCAGGCCCTTGCGCTTGCCAGGCAAACGCTTATTCTACTGAGCCATCTCCCTGGCCCCTATTTATTTTTTTTTAATTAATTAATTGATTTATTGGAGCCAGGGAGATGGCTCAGTAGAATGAGTGCTTCCCTGGAAAGCACAAGGGTCTGAGTTCAATCCCTGGTTCTGCAAACAAACAAAAAAAGAGATTAATTAATTGATTTATTTATTTTTGTATTTTAGGGAAGGGTCTACAGGTATCTAGGGTCTCACTACTAGATCAGACCCGTAGTGATCCACCTGTTTACAACCTCCCAAGAGCTGGGATTACCAGTGTGCACCACCACTCCCTGTCTCAGTAAACCCCAGGGGCGGGGCCAGCAAGGCAGGCCCAGGGATTGAACTCCTGGCCCCTGCACCTGCTTGCAGACGCTTTAATCTGATGTATTTGCCTGGCTTTAAGAGTTGAGAAGGACTTTTTTTTTTTGCTGGCTCAGGTTGCCTTAAGTGCAGGTCTGGTAAGGCATGTGGAGCTGGGGATGGAATCCTGGGCCTGACTGCATTTGCATAAGCAGGCTTAAACAATTGAGCTAACCAGCAGGCCCCCTAGTTGAGTTTAGATAATGAGTGCTGTGATCTTTGAGACCTGGAGAGGTCTGTGGAGACACAAATGCTCAATTCAGCTATTTGAAGGATTGTGATATGGAAGCCAGATTAGATTTGTGTTCTTTGTATGTTAAAAAGTTCAGTCCCAGGCTGGGAAGATAGCTTAACTGTCTAAGCACTTGCCTGGCAAGTGCAAGGGCCCAAGTTCAATCCCCTGTACCACATTCTGTGCCAGCCCCAGAACCTTCCGTGAACACTGTGCTAGCCACCAAAACTGGGCTGGGTGGTGCACACCTGTAATCCCAACACTGGTGAGGCTGAGACAGGAGAATCGCTATGAGTCTGAGCTGTGTAGCGAGACCCCTGTACAAAGTAAATAAAGGTTTTTTTTTTTTAATATTTGGTACAGGTGGGCACAGCATGTGGTGCTGGAGATCGAACCCAGGTCTCTGCACTTGGCTAAGCAGGCATTTAGTCTGCTGAGCTATCTCTCACCGGCCCTAAATAAAAGATTTTAAAAAAAGTTCAATCCCACCTTGGACTCATACTGAGACCCTGTCTTAGTTACTCTTCTCTTGTTGCTGGGACAAATACCCAACACCCAAAACGAAGGAAGGAAACGTTTATTTAGCTCACAGTTACAGGATGTTTCAGTCCATATTCAGCTGGCTCCAAGGCAGAGCAGTGCAAGGCAGAGAACAACCTTTCATGGTGGAGGCAAAGAGCAAGAACGAAAAAGGAGGGGCTGGTGAGATGGCTCAGTGGTCTAAAGCACGTGCTTAGAACAAGCTTAGCAAAGCACAGGGACCACGGTTCAATCCCCCAGCACCACATGCCAGCCAGCCCCGCCCCCCAGGTGGGCTGAGCTGGCCACACACACACACACACACACAAATAAAAAAAAAATTAAAAAATGAAAAAGGAGGAGTAGCAGCTAGCTTCTCTTCCCTCTTTACATTGTAATGCAAATTGCCTCTCCCTGGGGAGGTGCAGCATCCACACCCACAGTAATCAATCACAAACTCCAGAAGCCTCCCCCAGACTGCAGGAGGCTTGGGGGGGGGGGGGGAACGGGATGGACACCTATACACAAACCATAACAGACCCTATCTTAAATTCTGGAAAAAAAAATTTTTTTAAAGGTCCAGAGTTACAATATATTAATTATCGTAATTCCCACTAACCTGTTTTGAAACTGTTTCATTGCTATTTCTTTCTCATTAAAATTACTAAAAATTTTTTTAAAAAATGGTCCAGAGTTACAATTCAGCATGAAGGCCCTGGGTGCAGTCACTAGTAGTGCATATGCACACAGGTGTGTGTGCACGCACGCAGATGTGCTTGTGCACATGTTCACACACAGTGTCATCAGGAATTATATTTCAGCTCAGACTAGGGAAGAACTCTGTGAGGGTGAAAGGCGTGGTCTTTGCTAAGGTTGCTGCAGTCTGGTATCCAGGAAATGAACAGGCCCCTCATCACAGGGTCTCTTCCAATGTGAGGTCCTCCAATTCTGCATGAGTGAGGATCTAAGTGACCTTGAAAAGAAGAGCAGAGCATATCAGGAGAGGGCGGCAGGAGCCTGGTGAGGCTGGAGGCGATACTACCACAGTTGGCTTGAGACATTGGAGGGAACTCAGTGCCCAGAAAGATGATTAACAAGTCATAGGGCAAAACTGGAATATGGGAAAAGGAAAAAACTCTGACCATCAGTTTCTTTCTCCCTTTGACTCCAAAGAGACATATGAGCGGCTTGAAGCTGACAAAAAGAAACAGGTTCATAAGAAGCGAAAGTGCCCTGGGCCCATAATTACCTACCACTCCGTGACAGTGCCACTTGTTGGGGAGCCCCCAAAGGAGGAAAATGTGGATGTAGAAGGGTGAGTGGACAGCCGGGTCGTCCTGGGCCCACTCTACTCACTTTGCTCTTCCTGGCTATTATATGCCTTTCTGACTCTATCCTCCCCTTAGCTCCTCCTTTCTCTTAGCTTCCCTTTTCCCTCTCTTTTTCTACTCTCACTATCTTCCCTTTCTGTCTACCACTATTTAGTAGGTTCTTTTAGGATGTTACTCCACCATGCCACCTTTTTCTATCTCCCTGATTTCTTTATATAGCATGTTGTCCTCTCCTCAGCTTTCTGTTGTTTTCTGTCTTGTCCTAGACTTGATCCATCTCCTACGGCTTCCACATTGACTTCCCATGCTGTGACTGGACCTGTCATCCCTCCTGCTCATTGCTCCCGGACCTTCATCACATTTAGTGATGATGCAACATTTGAGGAGTGGTTCCCCCAAGGGCGGCCCCCAAAGGTCCCTATTCGAGAAGTCTGCCCAGTAACCCATCGTCCAGCCCTATACCGGGACCCTGTCACCGACATACCCTACGCCACTGCACGGGCCTTCAAGATCATCCGTGAAGCCTACAAGAAGTACATCACTGCCCATGGATTGCCACCCACTGCCTCATCCCTAGGCCCTGGGCCCCCACCTCCAGAGCCCCTCCCTAGCTCAGGGCCCCGAGCCTTGCGCCAGAAAATTGTCATAAAGTGAAATGATGTCTAGTCCTTAGAAACCCCTTTCTGCCCTGACTTGGGGTTCTTGATCTTCCTTCTTTCCCTGCTTCTCTCACTTTGTTGTTTCTGATCTTTTCTCCTTCCTGTATTTCTTTTCCCATCTTTTCTCCTGGTTCCTATTGGTTTATATTTTTTAATCTAATAAAAATGGGATGGTCCTTTTTGTCTCGTGTCTAATATGGGGTTGAGAACAAGAAGTGTTTGTGAATATCTTAGTATCTTTGGGTCTTCTTATTTGTCTGATAGCAGTTATTATGACCTCCCTTTTGCTTTTTTTGATTTGGGGTCTTGCTCTATTGCCATGATTGGTCTTAGACTCCTCAGCTCAAGCAATTCTCTATTCTCATCTTCCCAGTTTATGGGGACCAGAGATGCATGCATCCCTGGCTTGTCGTTTCTTAATTGTGAAGTATCATTACTCTAAATTATAAACACATTACATTTAGCTACCAAAAGAAAATTCGTGGGAACCAGGGAGATAGCTCAGTAGAATAAGTGCTTGCCTGGCAAGTGCAAGAGCCTGAGTTCAATCCCCAGTTCTGAAGAAAAAAAAAAAAATCCTGTGTTGATCTATCACCTTATATTCCTTGTTTTAACTATAGTAGGCACCAAATAGAAACTTAGCTCGTTGTAGAACTCAACTCTAGGGAGCAGGCTTGAAGAGAAGAGGTGCCATGGCTGTCAGTGGCCACTAGAGGCTCTCAGGGCTGGGCAGGTATGGGGGCTGTGTATATGTGATCTCCCACCACCCCCCACCTGGCCAGAGCTAAAATAATAAAATGCTGAGCTCACTGTTCCCCCACCCTCTCCCTGTGCACTGGGCTCCTGCTGCAGGACAGTGCCCCAGTGGAACAGACAGACTGACTGACAGAAGGGAGGTGACCATCAGGACTGGCAGGTAGGGAAGGCTGGGGGCTTACAGAGGAGAGCCTGGAGGAGATGAGAGAAGAGTGGCTCTTACGGGGAATGACGGAGTGTATCTGCCTGTTAGTGTATGTTTCTGCTACTGTCCTGTCCTTTAACTGTTTATGTTGTCAGTGTAAATCCTACAGACTTTCTAGATCTTTTATATTAAGCATGGCATGTATATGTAGCTTTTGTGTATTTTTTCATATTGTAAAAGATGTGTAAGTTTAATTTTCCTGCTGATTTTAGAGAAACTATTCCATTTAGAAGACATTTTCCACCCATTGGTCTGGTGTCACCTTCCTGATGACAGATTGTGAGGACTCAGTCTCTTTTCCTGAAGCCATATTGCCCTTCCCCCAGCCTGGAAGTTCCCCAGTCTCTGAGCCCTTTCTTAGGATCTAGAATTTTAGCAAACAGTACAATTTTGATTCTTCCACAATTAAAGAGAAAATAAGGGTGGGGTAAGAGACTCCCTCTGCCCACTGCCACCAATTGTCCTTGCTTGATTTAACCAGTTTAGAAAGCCAGGTGAACAGAGAAAAAGGAATTTTCCTAAAGTTCTGTCCTGCCCTTTCCCACCTTTCAATAGGAACTGGGCGTGGAGCCAGCTGTGTTGGCAGAACTTCCGGCACCTGTGCTAGGGCAAGAGGCACTGACAGGCGAGGTTATAGGGGAGGGGTGTTGCCCAGATTTCTTCATCATATAGTGAGAAGACAAGCGTGCTCTGGATCCTGGGATCCCCATCCGAGTGACTTGCAGCTAGGGAAGTGAGAAGAGGGGAAACTCCATTCTAACTCTATAAAACAACCTGACCTCCCATTTTCCCATTCTCAACTAGATCTCTAACCTCCAGGGTATCTATCTAGGTCCATGTTCTATGCATGACTGATTCTCGGTGTCCCTACTATGTCCATGTCCATCTTTCTATGTCCAACTACTTTTCCCATGTCCTCCCAGACTCTGAGTGTCACACAGTGGGGAGGGGACAGGGGTCATCATGTCATCGTATCAGAAGGAACTGGAGAAATACAGAGATGTAGATGAAGATGAGATCCTAAAGACCTTGAGCCCTGAGGAGCTGGAGCAGCTGGACTGCGAGCTACAGGAGATGGACCCAGAGGTAAGGACCCCAGCACAGGGAATTGGAGGCAAGTCCCCAGGGTCAGGGAAAGCTGTTGGGCACTGAGTGGCTGAGACCAGGACTACCTACAGGGCTTGGAATCCCAAGAGAGCCAGGGAAAAGGTACCTGAAAATGTTTTAGGGAGCCCTAGAAGTCCCCAGAGGCGTACCTGACCTGCTCCCCAAAACTCATCCCCAAGAACATGCTCCTGCCAGCTGGACTGAGACAACGTGACCAGACAAAGAAGAGCCCAACAGGGCCGCTGGACAGAGAGGCCCTTTTGCAGTACCTGGAGCAACAGGCACTAGAAGTCAAAGAACGTGATGACTTGGTGCCCTTCACAGGAGAGAAGAAGGGTATGGGGACCCTGCCACCCATGCCTCCTAGAAACTAAGTGGCGTCTCTCACAAGCCTCCCCTCCAATTTCCTTCCCACTCCTACCTGCCAAGGGTCACGGGCACTCTGACACTTGCATGCCAGCTCACACTCTCTGGTTCTTGTGAAAGGTCAGGAGACTGAGAGTCTTGAGCTGGCATCAAAGAATTCAGGCTTTCTGGTGTCCCCTAGTGACCCAGCATTATACCTCTTGGAGAGGACAGGAAGCTGGAAACCAAGATCTTGGGAGAAATGACCTCTACCTGAACCATCCTTCATCTTCCCATCAGGGAAACCCTATATTCAACCCAAGAGAGAAATCCCAGCACAGGAACAGATCACCCTGGAGCCTGAGCTGGAAGAGGCACTGGCCCATGCCACAGATGCCGAAATGTGTGATATTGCAGGTAGGCAGCTGGGAAGCTGAGGAGGGTGGGAGGAGCAGAGGTTGGCATCCTTGCCTTGGTGAGGGGGGCAACTGAGGAAAGTCCTCACCCAGCACGTGGATGTCTGAGAAGGCCTCTGACAGTAGTTTCTGTTTTTGTTTTTTGCACCAGTAATTTCTACCAAATTTGTTTTCTTGTGTATTCATTCATCTTTATGTATTTTGTATATTTAGTACAGGGTCTACAGGGTCTCACTACATAGATGGGACTCGTAGTAATTCTCCTGTTTTCAGCCCTCCCAAGCACTGGGATTACAGACACCGCCACATCCAGTCTCAGCACACCCTGGGGGCAGGGGCCAGTATGGCATGCTGGGATCGAACCCTGCCTGCTGTCATTCATATTTCATAAGTTAACATGTCAAGAGCATTTCTTGGGGGCTGGGGAGATGGCTCAGTGGAATAAGCGCTTCCCTGGCAAGCGCAAGGGCCTGAGTTCAATCCCCGTTTCTGCAAAAAAAAAAAAAGCATTTTTTCAAGCTAGGCATAGAGGTGCACATCTATAATCTCAGCACTTCAAAGGCTGAGGCAGGAGAATTGCCACAAGTTGGAAGCCAGCCAGGGTTATAAAGTGACTTCAAGGCCTGTACTATATATCAAGACCCTGTCTTTATAAAATTTTTTTTTTTTACAAAAAGATTGTAAAAGCAAATCAAAGTACAGGTATTCTGACTGAAATCAAGAAGAAGGGGTCTTTGCCACACCCACACCCTCTAGTGGCGCCTCTAGGGATCATTCCTAACCTCCATCTCAATGGTATAAAAACCACCATCAGGTAGACTAAAGCAGGGGCACCTGGGGCAGAGGGAAAGTGGAAAAGCTCTTTGGAATAGTGGAAGGGATCAGCTGCAGCAGAGTGAGGTGGGATATGGGCTTAGGAGACCCCTTCTCATTCCCTACCCCCTCTGCTCATGTGCTACAGCAATTCTGGGAATGTACACACTGATGAGCAACAAGCAGTACTATGATGCCATCTGCAGCGGGGAAATCTGCAATACGGAAGGCATCAGCAGTAAGTGTGGGGGCACAGGGCCCCAGGGCTCTGGGCAGGCAGTCTCAGAACCTGAGCAAAAGTAGCAGGGGTGAAAGAGATGAATTTGGAAAGGATGTGGTATATGAGTGATATAGAACCAAGGGAGAGATGGTAGGGGACATGTTGGGGTTCCTTCCTGCCCTCACCCATTAGGTGTGGTTCAGCCTGACAAGTATAAGCCAGTGCCAGATGAGCCCCCAAATCCCACAAACATTGACGAGATGTTGAAGAGGGTTCGAAGCAATGACAAGGACTTGGAGGAGGTGAACCTCAATAATATACAGGTATTTATCTCCCATCTTCCTAAGAGTAACAAGGGGATAACTTTCCTGACAGACAAGAGTGCTGAGCTCACCATTTCCTGTGCCTGTCTGACAGGACATCCCAATACCCACACTAAGTGAGCTGTGTGAGGCAATGAAGACAAATACCTATGTCCGGAGCTTCAGTCTGGTGGCCACAAAGAGCGGTGACCCCATCGCCCATGTAAGGCTAGTTAACATCCCCAGCCCTCTCCCTCCACCTTCTTATCAAGCACTCCCAGGAGAGCTGTCATAAATGGTTGTGCTAGGGGGTGCCCTTCCCACCATGCTTTCTTAGGAAGCTGCCCTCATAGAGACCCCTACCCTCAGTCCTAGAGCTCACAGCTCTGAAATCCTGAGATCTTTTTCCTGAAGGGCCACCACCCTGGCACCCTGAACTCCATTGCATAATATATATATATATATATATATATATATATATATATATATATATATATATTTACAGGGTGTACAAGGTCTCACTACTAGATTGGATTTAGTGATTCTCCTGTTTTCAGCCTTCCAAGCGCTGGGAGTACAGGCATGATGTCCAGTCACAATTGTCATCCCAGTATGCCCTGGGGGTGGAGCCAGCACAGTAGGCCAGGGATCAAACCCTGGCCGCTGCACTCTGCCTAAGCAGACACTTTAGTCCACTGAGCTATCTGGCTGGCCCTCCACTACATACTTTTTTTTTTTTGCGGAACCAAGGATTCAACTCAGGCTCTTGTGCTTGCCAGGCAAGCTCTTATTCTACTGAGCCATCTCCCAGCCCCAGTCTCCCTACTTTTATCTGCTTCCCACACTGTCCCCCCTGTGGCCCCATTTAAAGCTCCTCAGAGACTCTTCTCAAAGAGCTGTTTCCTTCCTCTCATTCTTTCTCTCCTCAGTCATCTGTGAAATAAACTGTCCCCTAATCC